TTGTATTAATATAAAGTAATGATGGCATTTTTGTTATTTTTATATTTCTATTTGTTTATACCAAAGCACACAGCTAGAACAATTAAAGTGATGACTATCAGTTATGAAAAGAAGAAATTTGAAACATCTACATTTGAGGAATTTTTCCCTGTGTAACTCTTAACTGTTTGATAACATTATACTCACCTAGAAATAAGGGTGTGGTGGCATCATTAGTGACTTCATTAGGATCAGCACCAGATTCCAGAAGAATAGCAGTACATTCCAGGTTTCCCCTACTTGCAGAAAGGTGTAATGGAAAAGTACCCTCAAATGTTTTGGATCTTATGGAGTTCGCAGAGGGTGCTGCAAAGCATAATATAGTAAACTGAGTAAAGAATAACACACAAAAGTTGGAGAAATTGCCATTTTCCATCTCTTCCTAACTGCAGTTTATCTACATAAACAGAATCACAATATGGTGGGCAAAGCATGTGTTTCTCACATAAAAAGTTCCACTTCACATCTTCATTTAAAACAATCATAACTTCCTGTTGTTCCTAGGAAGAAATTCTGAGCTATTTGGACAATCACTCTGAACTAGTACAAGGCAGCTTTATATTTCTTATCTAAACATGCAAAAAACGAGCATATTTTTTTTGCCTATCTGCCTCCTGTCTGTTTTCCCTTAAGAAAGTAAAGACATCCTTTTAACTAGAAGGCATTCCCTTACAATGCCAATTTAGGATCAGTATTGCATTTTAGCTGTTTTTATTAATCATTTTCTTTTCTACAAATACCATACAATCTTACAATTACTATTTTACGGCTGGAAATAGTACTGAAATATAATGAAATATTTGTCTACCCTATTCAATATTCATTAAGTTAAAAATTAGCAGAAGTCATTATGTCAAAAATCCTCTCAAGAAGAAAATAATTCATGTAATATACCTTGATCCTTCAAAAGAGTCTTATAAGAAATCATTTTATAAATATAATAAAGGCCTGATTTGCATGTAGCAATAGCACTTAGCAAAAACACAGGTACATTTTCCTTACTTTACATTTTCCATACTTTAAAAAAATTTCCTGCTGAAAAAAAAATCTGTTCTTACAGTATGCTCTGAACATACTTTTTAGCAGATTTTAAAACTCTTATCCTGAAAAATGTAGTTGACTGAAGAACAGAGAAACTGTTCTTCCTTGATTTGTTCATTATTATAACAATAGTTGGGGTGATGACCTCACAGAATCCCACTAACTCAGTGATTCTTGATTTAAAAATTTCAGTAAGTATATCTCTCACCTGGAATGCTATGACAGCTCAAGATCTAGCAAAGGCAAGGTGACATGGTAACATATAATGATGTTTTCCAATGCTATATGCCAGAGATGTCAAACCTGATTTGAGGGCTGCATCAGAGTTGTGTTTGACCTCGGGCGGGCAGAGTGGGCATGGTTGGGATGTGTGGCCAGGGTAGGTAGAGCCAGGGTAGGCGGGGCCAGCTCAATGTCACTTGTGTTGAGGGGCCTGTGCTTGGGGGGCCAATGGACCCGAGCTCCATTTGCACTGGCAGAGGCACTGCAGGCTGGTCCTTCACTGTTTCCAGGGCAGCCTTGTGGGCCAGATCTAAGCCTCCAGGGGGCTGGATATGGCCCCCAGACCTTGAGTTTTACACCCCTGCTGTACACAGACAATTGGCAGATATGATTAATCTACTCTTCATCAATTAGATATCTAATGGGAAATTGGAGTCAATTGGAGAACTAATACTATAAGGCTTAATTTTATCTTCATTTTATATATATTTGTAAATAAGTGGGAGTAATCTCCTTTAAAATCAAGGGAATGGAGATCACACATTATTACAGCCTCCAAGAGTCATAGTAGCAATAATGACACTAGAGGGAGGCAGAAAAATATTTGGCCATATTTTGAAGGAATTTAGATGAAATGTGTTAAAAAAATGCTGGAATCCTAGTGCACCTGTTTTGCTTGCTACTTAGGATAGAGAAAAACCCAAAAAATCATGTCAAATTTTGACCTTCTGCTCCTCGAGTATCAGTAACTCAAGGTACTGAGAGTATGGTTTAAGGGTCAGTTCTTAGGGTTTTTGTAACTTCTGAAATATCTACCTGTTTAAAGAAACTAAACTCCTGGAAAAAAAATGGAGTCTCTGGAATTTCCCATTACTCTGAATCAGAAAGCATATAAATATCACTACTGCTGATACATTTCTCCTTACCTGCTTGAATTAAAAGCTTTAGACATTCATTTCTGTTATGAAATGCAGCTTCATGAATAGCCATCCAACCTCTGTTATCAGAAACATCAATGCTGTATCCTTTTCTGATTAGTTTCTTCAAAAGTTTAACATTGCCTTCTCTGGCTGCTAGCCCAACAGCCGAACATCTATCAGAATAGGCTTCTGTAAAATCCATCCTAACAAATTGGGGTAGGAGAAAATGAAGAGGAATAGCCCATGAACTTAATGGAAAAAAATACAACAGTGTATTATTTCAATAAAAGTTATCCTCATTAGAATATAAATCTACACAAATATATCTGATAGGCACACCTACAATAAATTTATTTTCAGAAAGTATTAAGTACATCAGAAGGCCATGCCCAGAGTATATACATCTCGCAGGGTCACCAAGGCATGAAGAGCATCCCAGCCAAAGCAAACAGACCCATGTATCAGGCAGCAGCAATGTAGGAAAATGCTGGAAGAGAACAATCACTTTAGTAACAACAGTAAAGGCACCATTTCATGTGTGAGAGAAGACAATGGTAAACCACTCCTGTATTTTACTAGAAAACTACTTGGGTAGTTTAGATGTTAGTTATGGTAACTGATAATATAGAGGCTGGTGCTGGGCCTCTGATGCTGGTCAGATGGCAATCAACATGCTACTGAGAAAGAGTTAAGGACTTTCCATAGTGTTCATGTCAGATTGATTAAATTATTCAGGACACCTAACGGTGCCACATAGAAAAAGAAAATGCAAAGACAGAATTATAGTGGGAAATGCAACATAGAACTACATGCTCACATTTTAAGTTAACTGAAATGGACTGTTGTGGGTGATGTTCAGTAAGATCACATTGCTTACTTCTGTAGTGCTCTGAACATGAAAAACAAAGAAGGAGCAACACTCAGATCACGCTTTGTTTAGGAGTTTTGTTGTGCAACCTCTCTTCACAGGGGTGAACTATCAGATGAGTCAACCCATGGTACCTAATGGATCCAATGAGGTTTCAGAAGGCACCTGGGCAGTTTTCCAAGAATCTGACTGGCACTTGTCAGTTAAGACTGATCATCCACTAAAATAAAGGGGAAGCTGAAGAGTTTGACCAAATTACACTGGAGTGATCTCTCTCTTCTCACAGATCCAATACTGCTCCTTGGAGCTTATGGAGATGAAATCACAGAGGAAGACCCATTTTGAGTCCAATGACTAGTAAGAGTTCACATCTGTATCTACACAGTGAAAATCCAACAACCAAATTTAGATATTTTGCCACTTCGTTGTGTCTGATTAAAAAGACAATTTTCATAAAAAGTCTGAAAGGCCCACTGTGAAGAATTTTATGACTTCTAGCTAATGAAACCACTCAGATTCAACAGGAGTTGAACTTCATCTGTACAGCATCAACAGAGGTAACTGGCCCTTTTCACAAGTCACTCACACACTATATAAAACAAACTTATGTAACTAGCACAAAATCAGAAGGCTTTCTGGAAATTTCTTTATAAACTTTGAAGGCTACCCTTTTTAAATTCATCATAAACAACTGCAAAATCTCTTCCAAGTAATAATAATTCTATTGTCACCAACATTCATTTAATGTTTTGAATGAGTTCACCCAATATCAAAATCATCATGGCTCACAGTACACTCAGCCACTATGGTATATGACTACATAACAAATTATATAGTTTATAATTCACCCAACTGTAGTTTGATTCATCACTAGTGCAATGTATGAATACACGCCTAAGGTAAGAATTAATACTGATTATGGCTTGGGCTGAAGAGACCAGAAAGTTGCTGACTTGGGGCTGATCACAAATTGGTCTTCCTCAAAGTTTGTTACATGAACGGCGATCTCCACATCGGGCATTCTAAACTCCCAGAAGGAAAAGGGGAGAGAAATGCAACGATTAACTGAATACGAATTAGGATACTGACCCAACTGGATTCAAAGCACATACTCAAGCATCGCGTAAAGTTACAGGTTACATTCGTGCGGCAAAGTCAGCAAAGAGCGAGGACGCCTCCTTTGAGACTCAACGGGCTGCAGAACCCGAATCCTCACTTCCCTAGTTTGAAGTTAAAACCCGCTGCCTGGCCCAAGAACCTCAAAGGGGAAGCTTGGCGCAACCCCCTTGCCACCACGACGGTTCCACGTCGTTGCCGGAGCAGCCCGTAGGGAAAACGGGGAAGATGCTTCCCTCAGCGGGCTCGGCCGCTCGACGTGGGATATTCCGTAAAATGGCGGCGGCGTCTTGTTAAAAAAACAAAAAAGGCCGCGCCAAACAGCCGTCGCCAATCCGGCTTGCCCCTCGCCGTGCAGGACGAAGCAGCCAACGCGCCTCCCACTTCTCCTTCCTGCCCTTGCCAAAGAAAGAGCAGGAGCCCAGCAGATCAATGGAACCGATCACAGCCCCGCTCCCTTCATTGCCCGCTCTTCTCACCCGAGATCTTCGCCGGGGTTCCCGGGGCTTCCTTTCTAGAAAAGGAGGGGCAACCGCTCGGCGCTTGGGGCTCGGAGCAGCTCTCCCAAAGAGCAACAGAAGCTTTAGCCGAGCTGGAGCAGCCGGTTGACACCCAGCCTTTCTTTTCCTGGCTCAGAAGGGGATGCCGGGAGCTGTAGTTTGAGTTCGGTCTCCGGCAAAAAGCTCCCCAGTTCTCCCGGCGAAACAGTCAGTGGAGGGGCACGTGGTTAAGTGGAAGCGGAGCCCGCTCGGAGGTTGGGGCTCTTTTGAGCGCGGGCCCTGCGCTCTGCTGTGTGCTCTGCCTGCTCAACAAAGGTTGGAGAGAATATGCAAAGCCCTAGCAGCCCCCAGGACCGCTGTTGCCCGTCCCCTCCCTCTTCCCCAGTCAGCGAAGCAAAGAGTGACGGGGCTAGAAACATGTGGGTGTTTGGATATGGCTCTCTCATCTGGAAGGTGGATTTTCCTTACGAGGACAAGATGGTAGGATACATCACGGGCTACAGCAGGAGGTTCTGGCAAGGCAGCACGGATCACCGTGGAGTGCCGGGCAAGGTGAGCTGCGGTAGGCAGACGGAGAGGAGAAAGCGGGGTTACCTCGTTTGCCCGCTCGGTGCCAGCGGGCCACTGAGAGATGCCAGGACTCGCTCTCGTAGTGGAGAGAAATTGTTATCTCCCAGGTGGGAGCTGGGTTGGAATCGAACTGGGCCAGAGAAGGAAAAGGTTTGGGGAGGTGGACCTGTGCGACTGACAAGAGCTGACCCGCCAGCCATCCAGTTGCAGAGGAGCTTGGCAAGTGCCTGCGTGCCCGCTGGTCGGATTGATGTTTGTGTGCAAAGCCCGAGTGCCAATTTACTACGGGTACAGCGATTCCAGAACCTAGGTGCACTTTTTACACGCACAGCCCAGCGCCTGTTGTTGTTGGAATAATAGAGGGAATGTGTTATTGTTTGTCTCCCACAACTATTCTCTATGCATTTAACTTGTCTATTTTATCTATATACAGTCAAACCTCGAATACTAATATAGTTAACAATGCAACTTGGGTACAATTGTTTTTTTTCCCCCATTGGGGAAATGCAGACAGGACAGTGTATCTTGCAGGCAACAAGAAAAAAGACAAAGTTCCCAAGCTATTTTATTTTTTTGATATGGTTGCACTACACTTCAATGTGTGGGTCACCTTCTATAAATTTATATTTGTTCAGATTCCTTCAGAGCACACTATGAAGGAAACTTCAATGGCAAGATTTGGTTTTCTGCTAAAAATAAAATTACTGACCTTGCATATCATGTTTAAATCAAAACCCATGGATAATGCTTGGCTGTATTCCAACATGTTATACCAAAACAAAGAAATCACATTACAGCTTAAAGTGATGGTCTGATACCCACAGCATAGTAAGACATAACAGGATTTGTTTAGTTTTGGCTTAGCGTGTATAGTTTAATAATAGTTATTATTTAGCATATCATGCAATATAAACATGTGATCATCTCCTGAGCAACATATATTTGTTGTTAAATGACAAAAAAAGTATTGTCTCCCCCTAAAACTGTCTTGAGGTATTTGCCATTAGCAAGTCTTTTAATGGCTGCATCCATTTTGTTCCTGAACGTAATTTGAGAAAAAGTTCAGACTATTTCATAAAAGAAATAAACGTGTCATAAATGCACAGCTCAATCCTTCATGTTTTCTCTGAATAGGCTACACTAAGCCAAATGAGATTGTCTAGTAAATAAAACAAGATGAACAAAGTTGTTTCAAATATTTAAAGACCAACTTCCACTTACTACATGTGGATTTTTATTGCAAAACAGGAACATAATGTGCTCTGTGTAGTGGGATGAGTTGTGCATCCAGTATTTTAAAACCTGAAATGGGAAGGTAGAATCTTGGATACCTAGTTTACTGTGCTGTGTAATTCATTCCTGTATATAGAGGGTTTCTGTATATTTGGGGAAACAATTTACAACTTTCGAAAGTGATACTATCACAGAACTGGCAGACCACAATTCTTCTAAAATTACCAGACAAGCAGTGTTCCAAGGTTTCCAGGGTAAAATGTGGGTTTGCACTTTATGCTTTCAGTGAATGTTCTTTTGTTTGAATAAATGTTACTTTTTTCCATATTTCAGTTGAGAGGTCTTAAACCATTAAAGTTTTGGACATCACATTTGGTTGCTATGAAGCCTATGGTGTTCAATTTTTTTAACTGCATTTATCTATAGAGCTTACTAATCAACTGATAAATTCAGACTACATTTCCATTAAAATGAATATGTGAGAAATATTAAAACTAATGAAAAAGTTGAAATTGGGTGGCCAATTAATTTGTCATTGTATGATCAACTGACAAGACAATAATGTCTCTACAATGAGTCTACATCATTTATACTTATGTCCCCATTTCTCTTTTTATATAAATGTATCAATAATATGGTGAGCCCAAAGTTCGTTCACTAAGAACATCCTAATCTGTAACCATTGCATCCTTACCAAGAAATAAGCTTCAGTGAATTCAGTAACGTTTTACAAAGGTCCTAATTTCTGTACGCATTCTGACCTATGATTGCTGTTTGAAACAATGTTAACTTCTGATTATATGAAAGAATTGTAAGAAAATACTATGGTAGCTGTTTATTTTCCATTTCTTTGCTTCTTTATCATTATACTAAATAAGAAAATTCTGATTAAATGAACATCCTTCAGTATCTTTTTTGGACAGAACAAATGAGGAAAAGTATAAGAACCGGTTTGGTCTAGTAGGTAAGGCTCCAGGCTAGAAACCAGGAGACTGTGAGTTCTAGTCCCACCTTGAACATGAAGGCTGATTAGGTGAATTTGGGCCAAGATCCTGCACGTCCAAAAAGATGTTAGGAAAGAAAAAAAGAGAACAGAAAGCACATGCATCTTTTGGAGCTATCCGTAATCCTGCAAGATTTTACTTACTATGTGCTCAGAGCACTTGTAAGCCTATTAATAAAACAAACATTGCCTGTCATCATCAAAATGTTGTTCTCAGTCCAGTTTTGTGTAAACATGTAAAAAAGTGTTCTTGATGTTCATGAGACTAGAATGGCCTCCATCAATTCACAGTCAGGTAGTGTACCGATGGAGAAAATGCAACACGACTGTTACTTCCAAGACTGGTCATCCAACACAAAATTTCCCAAGACCAAACCTTACAATTTTCTGGGAGATCACAAAGAGCCCAGAGAACAGCAAACATCAAGCCATTCTTGCACTGAACAATGCACTGATGTCAGTGTTCATGACTCTAGCATAAGACAAACACTGAAGAAGAATGATTGAATGGAAGGTTATCAAAGAGGAAACCACTGGTTTCCAAAAAACACAATGCCATAAGTTTCAACTTTGCCAGATGATCCAGCAGGCTACTAGAACAGAGTTCTGTGGACAGACTGAGATAAAAATAGAACTTTGGATAATGAAAAAAAATATTTTTGAAGAAAATGAACTATTGAATTCCAGTAAAAATAATTAATTGTAAGCATAGTGATGGGAATTTTCATGGATTGGAGCTGTTTTTCAGCCTTATGATCCTGACAAATTATAATTAGGGAGGAACTAGAGATTCTGGAAATAGCAAATTTTACCGTTGGGAGGAGACTGCTGGATATTTACAACAGTTAGCCTAACTGAAAATATATGTGACCTAAAACAAGGTGTTCATCTAAGACAAGCCCAAACTATCAATGAAACAAAGCTGTTATATAAAAGGGAAAGGGTCAAAATACTTACAAATCAAACTACACAATTGGTTAAAAAAAATGCAGAAAGCATTTGTTGAATCTAATCTAATAGATCTGAGATGAAGTTTAAAGCACACTGCAGCTCATAGTACAGCAGGGTTAAGGATAGTTCTGAAATGTTTACAAACTTACTGTTGTAGTATAACCAAGACAAGGACATGTTGCCCAGTATGCATCCTTTCCCTGTTTTTTTATTGGTTTGCTATTTTATTCCTTCCATTTTTAATAGAGATAGTATTTCGTAGTGGCTGCATCTGAAACTTTGAAATAGAACTTGATCCAAAATGCAGTAGCGTGTGAAGTTTTAGGCATCCCATGGTTTGCCCATGGTACGCTGATGCTATATAAGCTACACTACCTTCAATTTTCTTTTTGACTGCAATTCAAGATTCTTATTATCTCCTTTAAAGCCCTGAATGGCATGGGGCCAGATTGTTTGTGAGATCACTTAAGGTTATTTGCCTTCTCCATCAGATCAGAGTGGGCTTGCTCCAGGTTCCTTCCCTTAAATGTTGCCAACTAGCAGGCTCTAAGTAGTCTGCCTTCTTGGTAGTAGCCCCTGCCCTTTGGAACAACCTTCCCTTGAGATCCAGCAGACCCCTATCCGCTTGGTTTTCTGAAAAGCGTTTGAAGACTTGATTTTTCCAACAAACTTGGGATTGCATCTGGCTGGGCCACTGCAAATTTTTATGCTGGTTCTGGTTTTTGTATGTGTTTGTAAACTACCCACCATTATGGTGTATAAAATAAGCTATTTAAATCTTTAAAATAAATAAATGTTTTTATAGCATATGAGTAATATGTGGAACAAGTACTTCCTACAAACCACCAGGGATAAATCATTCTGAAGATTCTGCATATAATTTGTATGGAGTTGTGTGCAAACCAGTAATTTTCACTTGTTTCTGTCCTATAACAAACCATAAACATGGAAGTATGACTTTCAATCAAACTACTGAATTATATCAACAGAAGCATGTTACTATTCATTTTTATATGCTACCCATAGGAATTAGATTGCCCAATGGCCTTTCAGTTTGTACCAGAATTCTGTGGAGTTAAACCAAAGTAAGCAAGCATCATGGACTAACAACCTGCTTTTTGTGGTTAAACAGAATTTTAAATAGTTAATTTCAAGCACCACCAGAATGCACTGGATTTCATTCTTCTAGGTAATTTGATATTATAAGAGAATTGTCTGTATTGATCTAGATCATTTGTTAACTTGTGGGGAATTTTTAAATTATTAGGTCAAATTTTAAAATGTTTGTTTTTATGCCAGTACTTAATCATTCCTGTTTAAACATAAAAACAGATTTTTTTGGAACCACAACCACTAATTTTGTCAGAATGAAGGATTTTAGTTATTAGTGCAGGTATCTGTATAATTATAACAATATGCTGTTCATTGCCTACTAAAGCCCACTGATGCATATTTCTCCAACTTTCAGGGATTTCTCAGAAAGCCATATTTTGAATTTGTAGCCTAAATAAAGGACTGATAATAAGCTATGGTCTAGTTATTATTTGAAAATGCTTTTCAGAAAGCATTGCCTGCCATAAGTTAATAACAATACCTATGAATTAAGATTAAAACAAGTAAAAGCCTTTTCTATTTTCATAAAAATATTTGAACAAAAATATTAAATTTTACAGTACTTTGAAATCCAGCGTGCCTCTCGCTATACAAGGATTATAGAGCTGATAAAATTCTAAATAGTATTTGTACAGCAGAGGAAACAATGGAGTTCAGAAACATCCAGCAATCTAGGAGAATGGCATTGACAAGGCAAGGCTATGTTATTTACTGCTGTATATGCAGCAGATTTGTCAGTCATCAGAAATACTGACTGACTTCAACATAAATGAGCCAATACTTAAAAATAATTGGCATTCTTCTGGGATTAGACAATATGCAACAACATTAATATTCAGTAGAGCTTACACCTTTCAAATAATGTTGTTTGCTTGTTATGCAAATTCACATCTGCAGTCTGAAATCCTTACAACAAATTTTGAAAATTTATTTAAAAATATATGCTTCTTATAATATTTCAGCATAAATTTAGAACATCCACAGTAAATTAACAAAAAAGTATTTTACGGAATACATTTTTGCATTTTTCTTTTCATCTGAATGCCAAAGAAAGCTATAAAGATTAAGGTTTTTTGATACAAATTAGTACTAAGGTAGATAATGGAATATACTACAGAAATTAGAAAATTGATGTACAACGTTCAGATTAATCATCTAAACATCTTCATGATTGGATAAAACAGTACCTATGTACTTCTGAACATTTAATGAAAAAGCGACTTAATTTAGTTATCAGTTAATGTCTAGACTGTGAACTATTCTGTCTTTTTAAAAGTTCAGAAAAATAGTAATCATGAATACAGTAATAGTAATATGAATACAGATTCTTAGGTTGTTGACATGAACACAAACTAAAGGAGGTAGCACCTTAGCTTAGGCCTTTTAAAAAGTTTGTAACTAAGGTAACACAATGCCAATTTTCCCACAGCTGTTTTTTTAAAGGAACTATAGATAAGCCCCGTATGACAGCAGATATTGCCCCTGTGACTGGGGTGCTATAGAAACCACAGTCATGTTCTTTTGCATTGTCAGTTCTACACAGAAATTTATCACCAGTTGATTACCCCTTTTATGTACATTTCCAAGGCACTCTAATATTTTCATTTGCATTATCTATTAAATAATTACATTTATTTCTGTTTTGCTACAGTATGTATAAACTTTGCCTATAAATGGTTGCCAACAGTTATTGAAGTTAAGGGATTATTTTGCTTTATTTTATAGATATTTTTATTAGCCAACGACCAATACAAAGTTTCTGTCTGTCAGTACCAATTTTCTAGTTATTAGATACCAGATGGCCACATCTTAACAGACAACTGGGCACAAAGATCCCATTTGTGGTAGACAAGTCACTTCATGTACAAATGTGGTCATTCTTACAAGTGCACACATGAATACATTTCTAAGGCCAAATCTCATTTTTCAAATTTATTAAACAAACTTAAGGACCACCAAACTCACATCTAGGTGACTCCAAGGGGCTTACAACATTAAAAACCACAAATATAAAAACACATAACCCCCTCCCCTCATGGTAGCAGCAACACAATCAAATTAACCACAATTGGCTCCTGTAGATGATCAGCTGAGCCTGAGGGTGGGATCAAACACATAATCAGTTTGGAATGTTTACACCCCCCATAAGAGAGCTTGAAGTCTGTTAACTCTTATATGGAGCCAATTCACCTTGATCATTAATAGATCAGATTCTTGTGTATAGATAGCATAAAATAAACTTGTAGCATTTTGAACTCTATTCTGGTTCCCAGTTTCTTGTACCTGACAGCTTCAGCTTCATTTGGGGTCCCCAGATCTGTTGCCTTTTAGAAAAGCAACAGGACAGAGGGCCAGCCATACCTCAGCAAGAAGATTTTCCACAGAGAGGTGGCCACCACTGAAAAGACCATTTTCATGGTCCCACCAGATGTATATCCCCAACTGATGGGACCCATAACATATCCGGTCTTCCTGTCCTGGTAGGCTAGGTGGATGTAATAGGGGAGAGTCCTTCAAAAAGTCCAAGCCACATAGAGCTTTAAAGGTGATAACCAGCACCTTGAATTCTATCTGGAAGCATATTGGCAGCCACTACAACTCCTACAAGAGAGATGACACGTGCAGAGCTTTAAGGGCCACTGCATTAATGAACCAACTGAAGCTTCTGGATACTGTACTATGTAAACTTGTAAAGCACATTACAACAGTCCAGATGGGTGATGACCAAGGCATGGGTGACTATAAGAAGGGCATGTTGGTCATAGTTGTGCAGAGACTGCCACCGGCTCCTCAGGCGAGGGTCACAAATCCAGAAGAACTCCCAGATTATGCAGTGGGGCAGTTTGGGGCAGTGCAATCCATCTACAACCAAAGATGGCAATTCTTCAAGAGCCAAAGAGCCCCTAACCCAGAGCCACTGTCTTGCCAGGGTTTAGATTTAGCCTGCTGCTCGTCATCCAGACCTGAACAGCCTTCAGGCAAATTTCATCACCCATATGACTTTACTGATGATTACAACAGGAGGCAAATCTAGTAGTTATGGGCTAGGGGCAAATTTAACATTTTGAAAACATAGTGGTAGGTGGATTCAGAACATAGCTGTCATAGTACTGTATGCATAGCCAATCTCACAATACTCATTTATCAGAAAACAAGCCGAGCTTCATTTCCCAGTAAAATATATGTGCGACTCAAAGATCACATAATTCTAGAGGCTTGTGCTTTGTAGCATGCCTTTTACTATCATCATCATCTTCGTGTTGTTTTTTTAAAAAGCTCAGATAAATTAGAGAACCTAGCGAGTGAGTTGCCCGAGAACAAATCTGTGAATAAAAAAACTTAACTGGAACAAAATGCAACTTTTAATTTATTTTAATTGATTTATTTATGTTCAGCCTGTAATATTTTTATAAATAACTTAAGCAAATATACTTAATACTCCATCCTCCTATTTGCCCTACAATATCCCTGTGAGTGGGTTGGACTGAGAGAGAGTCACTGGTCCAAAATCATCCAGCTATATTCCATGCCTAAAATGGGATTAGAAGCCAGAGTCTCCTAGTTTTTAGCCTGGTACCTTAACCACTAAAACAACTGGCTCATTATCATACAACATATATATTATAGAAGCTACAATGTTTACCAGCTTGTTTCGGGAGGCAATTCGTGGTGTTGTAAGAGATTATTACATTAATAATTAATAATTATTACAGTAACAATAAGAGTTAACAATAAGAGATCTTGGTATCTATGAAATCCCAAAGGTTCTTTTTCAAGAGGCAATTGGACTTTCTGGTTTTTCTTTGAAGATGTTTGAAGCTTCTTGGATGAGAAGTAAAATGTCTGCAAAGAAAAACCAGAAAGTCCAGTTGCCTCTTGATAACAGCACTTTTGGATAACCATGACCTGGATGACTGAGGATCTCCAGATATCTGTGAAATAATTTCTACTTGGGAACTCCAAGTAGGATCTGCACGGCAAATAGAACTAGCACACTTAGAATATCCACACATCCCAAAAATCTATAGAAGGGACTCCACAAGCAATCGCTCCTGGACCTCCCCTTCTATGGAAGCAGCTGTCTCCTAAAATAAGATGAGCATCTTGTTATTGTAAAGTCTGGAAATATTTAATGACAATAAATATGCCTGAGATACATACAGGCACTGCTTATTCATTTGTTATTGCTAGTGAATTTAATTATTTTGCTTGATTAAACTAGCCTAAAACCATACAAAACACTTGTACATAAATGACTAAAAATGAATTTATGATACAATCTGCATTCTTAACTAATCTAAGCTCCTCAGTCAGCAAATATACCATCACTATGACAGTCAAACACTTTAAAGTTATATTTCATTTATTTAATAATCCTGTGATTTGGATTTTTGTTTTACAAAAACTTCACTTTTGTACTGGCTCTGACAATTAAAGTTTTTACTGAATTTTTGTTTGTTTTGTTTTTAAATTTTAGCCTGGAAGAGTTGTGACACTTATTGAAGATCCTGAGGTATAGTAGTTGCATTTTACATACTCTATAAATATGTTTTGGCCTCAGTAGTAGTATGAAGCTGCCCTCTTAACTCTGATAGAGAAAATGAGAATTTTATACTGAAATCTTATACATATCAATTGGGATATAAATTCATAGATACAATGTAAATTACTGCAAAGTAAACATGCATAGAATTTCAATTGTTATCATTTCTCTCCAAAGATATGTAGAAGGAAGTTCAAAGTGATGGTCCAGGAATCATCTTGAGGCTAATATGTATCAAATTGACATTTTTCATAGACAAAAGCCCTATTCCTATAGAAAAGTGGTCAAAATAGTATACAGCTATTTCTAAACCATTCAGTTGAAGAAACTAGTTCAATTTTCTTGAAAAAGTCTCTTAACATGCATAATATTAGTCTCAAATAAATTGATTTCTGTTCACGTTTGAGATCTTTTTTTTTTCTTTCCTGCCACTTCTCTATTCAGCTTTTATAGATAGTCCTCAACTTATGACTGTAATTAAGCCCAGGGTTACTGTTTTAAGTTCTGTCAGAATTAAGCAGTAATAACATGACTGTGCCCGATTTTATGACCTTTTTTGCAGTGGTTGTTAAACAAATGCAGCAACTGTAAAGTGGCCACTACAGCCATTAATCCATTGTCCTCAATGGGCTTTTTTTTCAAGGAAACCAGAAACAAAGCTAGTTTCAAGCAAAAATCATCATAAATCACAGTAATGTGACTGCAGGATGCTGCAAACAGCTGTAAACGTGGGCTGGTTGCCAAATGCCAAAAATGCATTATTGAATATGGGCAAGTTAAACTAAATGATAAATAATGTATCATAAGCAATATGTTTCAAACAGTTGTACAAATAATCCATGTGATCAAAATTCAGATGCTTGGCAACTGCCTCATATTTATGATGGTTACAGCGTCCCAGGGTCATGAGATCGCCTTTTGCAACATTCTGACAAGTAGAAGCATGGGGGAACCCGATTCAGCTAACAACTATATTACTAATTTAACAATTGCAGTGATTTATTTAACAACTGTGGCAAGAAAGGTCATAAAATAGGGCAAAACTCACTTTAAAATATCTCACTTAGCAACATAAATTTTGGGCTCAATTGTGGTTGTAAGTTGAGGACTACCTGTACTGAAGTGTACATTAGGACTCCTGGAAAATGTATATATAAGAAAGTAAATCTATTAATTTAATACTATTTGCCAAACAACAATTAACTTTCTTTTCATCTCCATACCCCTATACCCTTAAAACTGTGTGGCAGTTAACAAGAAATTGTATTGCAATTAGTGGTCCCATAAGTTATTTTTAATATTTAAACACAAGGATTCAGTACCTCATTTCAGCATCTCCTTATTCTTTATTCATGCTTGCCAAGGTACAAGTAGATTTTTCTTAATGGCCCTAATTAAGACCAGAATTTGTGACTTCAACTGGCCCACCCACTTATTTTCCTTCATCTCTTCCCAAATACATCCTGCCTCTCCTTTTAGAAATTAAGAAATAATCTATGCAGCAAAGAAGTTTTGGCTGTAACCTAAACTCATGAAATTAGAAAAAAGGCAAATAACTCTCTGGAAAATTATTTATAAACTTAGGAGGCTATCATGTCTACATTTATAGGTAGTCCTATATTTAGGACAAGTCAGTGATCTTTTGAAGTTATGGTGGACCTAGCAGCAGGGGTGGGATCCAATCAGTGTTAACTACCGATTTGGTGATTTACGATTTGCGTAATGTTCTGTTTATAGTACACAGAAAATAAACAACTGTTCCCTTTCTATGACCAGCTGTTAAATACTGCAACACTGGAGCTTAAACTACAGTTTTACATAGATAGGCACCACTAAACCTACTTATTTAATGTAAATTTGCCAAGGATCAGAAATTAAAAATGTGAACCATGAAAATCTCACTCCCATCCTCAAATCATCTGCAAACTCACAGGTGAATAAAATTTTCAACTTTGTGTTCTCAAATCTACATAAAGAGCAAAAGTAAAAACTTACAGGGCATTACAGAATTATTGCAGCATTAGCGAAAATACATGTGAAATGTTTTATAAAATAAAAACTGTGAACTAAAACAAATAAGCTCAGTTCGTATTACTATTATATATCTTTATTTCGTCTAAATTAGGGGTGTTCACACAAAGGACCACTCTTGACTTCTAGATGGTATGCTAGATGGGACCCTGTAAAAACCAAGATTAAAAAGTGGCTAAGATAAAAAATAAAAATCGTTTTGCCATAGTTTAATTGTGATATAATATACATTACATTAAAATATGTACCGTTTACTTATGATGCACTGAGCAGTTTCTCTTAAAAATACAGTTGGAGACAATATTTGGAGGAATATGATCATTGCATATAGGCCTGAAGCCACAACTGGGTATATCTTTTCTAAGTAGCATCAGTGATACTCCCCCATATTTATATTTTCTTGAGAATAAATATGAATGACATGAAAACAAGGAGGTTTGAACACCACTAGTTGTCCTGTAATGCTGCCGAATTTATATCAGAGTAATGGCAGCTACAACCTTTTGTACTTGACAAGATCAGCAAAATGCAACACAGTGTCTGTCACTGTGAATTCTTCTGTATTTTTCTGGTAAGTTTTTTCATACTGCTGTGCAGTTAGATCCTATTATGTTAGCAGACATCTTCCTCTATAAGCAAAGAATAGTTTAGCTTGGGGTTTTTTTCCTCTTTCTTTTCCCAGCATTTGTATTACAAAACAAACTCCAATCATTGCTAACTAGTTATTTCAAATCAATACCCTGTAATCATCCTAATAGTGCAGTGTTAAAATAACTAGAAATTAGCAATATTTTAGCTTATCTCTATCAATCTATCTTGCTAAATTAACAGTACTTGTTAGATGAAGTACCTGCACAGAGGTGTCGGAGAGTAGAGAGTTCTTAATCACAGTAAAACCCTGGAAGAAAATGTGAGAAGGGAAGAGAGCCAGTGAAGAATTGGAAACATGGGTTTAAGAATTTGCAGTTCCCTCATTAATGTCCTGTTTTCTAGTTTTTCATTAAATAAGTTATGTGTATGCATTACTGACAATAATGGTTTGGAAGAGTGACCTCTGCAACTCTTTGAAAGAGTCTGATCTTTGTACACTTTACCTTTCTGGTTTATTCTTCTATAGGGCTGTGTATGGGGTGTTGCATACAAACTGCCAATAGGACAAGAAGTTGAAGTAAAAGCTTATCTTGATTTTCGAGAGAAGGGTGGATATAGGACTACAACTATTGTCTTCTATCCCAAAGATCCTGCAGTGGAACCTTTTAATGTGCTGTTATATATTGGAACCTGTGAAAACCCTAACTACCTCGGACCTGCACCCCTAGAAGAAATTGCCGAACAAATTTTTAATGCAGTTGGTCCTAGTGGAAGAAATACAGAATACCTATTTGAACTTTGCAATTCCCTCAGGGATCTTGTACCAGAAGATGTGGATGAACATGTTTTTACTTTAGAGAAACTAGTAAAGAAACTGCTGGAACAGGAGCAAAACAAACCTGTATAACAGTCGCTTTGCAAACGGTTTCTTCACTATCAGACTAAGTTTATTCTGTTTATATTGTTTATATAATTTGGAAATTATCCATCAAAATTTTAAAAAAAATAGTTTTCATATTTCATTGAGGCATCATTGTCCTTGTGCAATAGAGCTTTTTAAAATATTTAAATTTAAGAAGGAACTTTGAATTTCCATAAAGTTTTAAGAATGCTTTTCTGTTCATTTCTCAAATTTGAATAACTTAGGCCTGATTTAAGTTGAAAGGAAACTTTAACTTTAAATTATTAGATTTTGTTTTCCTTTCTAAAAAAAAGTTTTGAACTAGATTCTTCACTTAGATATGGATGCAGTCCTATGCACAAAAGGAAGTCCCTTTCAACAAAGAATGAAATGCATAGGATTGAGTGATGTGTGTTGACATAAATGTCAGTATATTCCTTCAAAAATGTTCCCAATGGGATTTGTGGATTACAGCACTGAAAGAACAATTCTTTGTACACTTGTTTAGGATTAAGTCCAACATGGTACAAAGTAAATGTGTGTAGGATTACATTGTAAATGGCAATTATATCTATATGAAGGGCCTGGATTATTTGTACAACTGTTTGAAACATATTGCTTATTATATATTATTTATCATTTAGTTTAACTTGCCCAAATTCAGTAATTTATATATAACTATTTGCTTAGTGATATGAGGATCAAATAGTTACAAATGAAAGGAAACTGCATTTTGCATTCATGGTTTCGATATCGTCAGAGATGTATACTGATACATCACAAGGCTTTCTCTCATTTTTTTGAAAATGTAATCAGGGAAACAACTTGAATCTAGAGTAATAAGTATGTAACAAAACTCCTATCCATAATCATTGGGCAATTTTCAGAGATAGTCAAATTTGCCTTTATCCCAGTAATTAGAGCTCCATAAATTAAAATTCACAATAACCCTTTGCTCAACCTTTACTATGCCAAAATGATGTTGTCACCAATACCTAACGATATAGTTTCACAACTTCTTGCTTCTAAACACTCAATAGCACATTGAGGTACAAGAATATTTCTTCTTCATTTTTTTTGTTTTTAGTGACAATCCTTAGTTTTTATAAATTTCTATGCATTTGTAAAGCTTTCACTATGAATACTGCCCTTTTCTTTGTACACTCTAATTGGAAAAAAATTGGAAGTATATGGATTATGCAGCCCAGCCCATTTGAAAAGCAGAGGATCAGCATTTGAAACACAAGAGCGCATTTTTGACACTATTGTATAGTAATTCCTTTTTTCCTCACAGAGGGACTGACAGAGATCTGACAAGCATCTAAATAAGAAATAAGCTCCCTTAAAAGCCAAACTTCCTCAGAAAATATTGGCACATAATTTGCAGCATAGGTTTTGAATGAAAATGTATGCTGTAAATTTCCAAGTCTAGATATTATCATTAATTAACATAGTTCTAGTTGTACCTGGATAACTTATTATAATTAACATAATTATATTTTCTACTAACAATTTGGAAATGCTTGCTAGAATTTTTCACTGAAATAACCACTGCAATGATAAACTTGTCAGTAAACAAAGGAAAATACATGAGCTCCAATCTATTTCCAATCTCTTAAAGACATATAAAAATGTTATTATAACTCCTCCCATAGACAAGGATTTCAAAAGAGAACACTCTATGGAATGCCTCTTTGATGGCTATAGCTGGCCAGTAAATACTCTTTAAAAATTCTAGTAATTGTGTCTCTCTCTCCCATAGTGCTTTGAACTTGATATTTATTGAAGATTGTATTACATATATCTAGGCCATCTGTGACAATATTTTGAAACCATGTCAAAGTATTTGAGAGCCCAAATTAAAATTTACACCAGGTAAGCATAAGCTGTTGATTTAGTTTAAATCAAATCAGCCAATTTTATTGGCATCCAGAAGGCCCATAAGCAACTTACAAACACAATATAAATTAAATACTTTACTTACTAAACTGTTTTATTCAATGTCAAATTTAGATTATGTTTGTAAGTTGCTTTTGGGTCTTTTGGATGTAAATAAAATTGATTGATTTAGCTAAATGTACCTCTTTTTTCAGGATTCTGTACTTAGAGTTCAAGTTGCATAGTCAAGTTGCATAGTCAATTGCCAGGACTTCTAAACCTTCTCAACTTCCACTAAAATGGTTATCTGCTGCAATAACTTGATGATTATCTCATAACAACCAAAAACATTTCCGTCCTAACTATGCATGTACATCTTACAGTTTCAGTTCTTTTCTTTTAAACTTTCAACAAAAGCATAAACTGGTTCTATGTTTCTGTCATTTTCATAATGAAACTTATATGATTTTGCATTAGTAATACAATAATTATGGTTTAAGCCCATACGGTGTTTCTCTTCCTTTGTTTAACAAATACTTGCAAATGTTATGCTGTGCTGATGTTTGTGTTTTTGAAGGCATCTATATTCAACAAAGTGGGAAAACCTGAATCTGAAGGGTATACTTTTAATAAGGAGTTAATCAAGAGATTACACAATGAAAAGGAGTTCTGATTCAAACCATAAATGGTATTTCCAGATCACAGTAAAAAAATCATATATAGATTAAATATGATTAATTATTACATCGTTATAAAAATATCTATATAGAAATAGGGCTTAGCTACCATAAAAAGTATCACTGATTTTTAATTCAATTTTATTATAATTCAATTACATTAAGCAAAGGTCAGCAACTAGTAAATGTGAATTGTATTATATAATCAAAGAAATGTTCGACTTTCATTTCCCAAGTAGAAACTCATGTTGCATGTCAAGTACTTTCTTAAAAAAATAAGTGGAATTTTAATAACAGTTTGTAATCCATTGATTGCTGCTCTGAAAAAATATATATATACAATTCCATTGGGCATTCTGAAAATTTTTGGATCCTAGCCATCAACACTAGAGATGTAGTACTGTGGTATAAATATGCAAAAGATTATAGATGAAATGTGGTAACTTCTAAACTTGAAGTGAGAAGTAGACTAAAAAGCCAGCACCACTCTTAGAAATCTGTTTCAGCATCAGAGATGGCTTGTTTTACTGGAAGATAAATGCACTTACATATTTTAAATGAGTTTCAGGTATGCTTCAACCTGTGATGATTCAGTGACCATTCAAAATTACAATGGTTCTGAATAAAGGGACTTATGACTATACCCAAACTTATGCCCACTACAGTGTCCCGGTGGTCATGGGATCACAATTCAGGCACTCATACAATCAACATCAGGGATGCTGCAGCAGCCCCTACTCACCTATCTTCCTCCCATCCACCCACTGTTTCCCATGAGCCTCCTTCCCATCTTGCTGGGTTCCACACCCCACTATGCCTTGCCTCTACCAAAGATTGCCTTTCCCAAAGAAAAATAGCTGATTCATCATACAGCCTTCCTGTATAAAACTGGCTTGGTGCCAACTTGGAAACTGGTGCCATTTTGGGAGTGGCCGTAATTCTTAGATCTCAAGAATTGTGGCCACTTCTAAAATGGCACCAGTTTCTGGTATGGTACCAGGCAACTTCTGTATAGGTGAATATGATGGTGAATTGCTGCTTCTCTTTCTGAAAGACAATTTCTGAAAGTTGTCATTTGGAAAGAGAATCAGCTGATGTGACACACAACAATCTCACAGATTGGTGCTTGCCTCTAGAATGATACAAAGCAGCCTCTGCAGAAAGGCTGCATGTTGCATTGGGGTTGGGCGCTTTTGGAAAGGTGAACTTTGGAAAAGATAAGTGGAGTGAGGCAAGAGACGAGACGAGTACAGGACCCAGGGGAGCAGGAACCTGTGAAAGAAATGCCTCAGGAGGTGGGGGAGGCCTGATACAGGCCATGTGCGAGCTGGGGAAGTACTGCATTGCAGTCCTGCATTAAGTGTCCCCCACCGTTAGAGCACTATGTGTTCCGCTTAACAATTACCATGGGGAAATTGGTCTGGTCATAAGCAAGGTGATCACATGGGCACCTTACTAACAACTGCAATTATAAAAATAATTCCAGGTTTGAGGACTACCTATATATATTTACAGGGGTATAATTTCTGTTCTAATGGCAGAATGTGAAGAAGAACTAAGCTTCTTGATAAGGGTGAAAGATAGTGCAAAAATTGGTTTGAAATTCAACATTTAAAAACCTGGATAATGGCATCCGGTTTCATCATTTCCTGGCAGAGAAGAAATGGAAGCAGTGACAGATTTTATTTTCTTGGGCTCCAACATCACCGTAGACAGTGACTAGCCATGAAACTAAAAGACTCTTGCTCCTTGGAAGGAAAGCTGTGGCAAAGCTAGGCAGCATATTAAAAAGCAGAGACATCACCTTGCCAATAAAGGTCTGTATATAGTTTTCTCAGTAGTAATATATGGTTGTGAGAGTTGGACCATAAGGAAGGCTGAGTGCTGAAGAACTGATGCTTTTGAATTGTGTTGGAGGAGACTTGAGTGTCCCCTGGATTGTAAATCAGATTTATCAAATCAGTCTTTGGAAGGAGAGATACTGAAATTGAAGTTCAAATACTTTTGCCACCTAATGAGAAGAGAGGACATCATTGGACCCTGATGTTGGGAAAGATTGAAGGCAAAAGGAGAAGGGGACAGCAGAGGATGAGATGATTAGACAGTACCATCAACAAAATGAACATGAATTTGATCAAACTAATAGATGGTGGAGGACAGGGGAACTTGGCGTGCTGTGGTCCATGGGGTTGTGAAGGGTCAATTTAGCGACTGAACAATAACAATAATTTATGGTGGGGGGGTGGAGTTTGTAGCATGGAGAACAATTGTACATATTCCTAAAGCATCTGCAATATTTCTGGGGGGAAATCCTAATCAGAACCAAAAAAGCATTTGTTAGATGTCTTTACAACTGTGTTTGATGTTATAAAAATATTCCAAGGAATGGTATTTTCCTATTTCATACAGTACATTGCAATATGAGCTACTGTATTATATAGTTTTATGCACCTAACAAGATTCAATAAATGATCACCATCACCAGTACAAAATGTTTCATTTCAACTTTAAACCAATTTTGACACCATTGAAAAAATATAATTACAAAATGACATAAATGTATCTGCCATGTTACAACTTAATGAAAGCAATGTTCTCAGTAAGGACTAGTTTGTTAAATATATAGTGAAATATCAATAACTACCAGTCTGTCAAAATGGTCCAATAATGAATTAATGGTCCAATAATTTTAGGATTATGGTAGTTCAAACTTGATTGTTATAAAGCTTGTATGAAGATGCCATCAAAAATTTGATATCAGATAAAGAACTGTCAAAGCAAATTAAATATCATTAAGTGCAATATTTTTCAATGAAATTATGTATCAATTAAATCCTGATGAATTATTTAAAAAGTGCATGCATTGTTCACATATTTCTTAAATTATAAACAATCAAGTCAAAAGCAAGAATACTGGGCACACGTCCAGTAAGTTGAACAGTATCTGTTGAATTAAATATTAATATCTGACATTCCATATTTTGTATATACGAGTTGCAGTAGTTGCTCCTATGATACTATTTTTTCTTATAAATACAGGTAATATGTGGATGAGATTATGTAGTTTAGGAGAAAATGTATTTCCTTCTTTAATTTTACTGTATAAAAAGATTAATAAAATGCCATGCTAGAATTAGTGTGGAATGTCATTGGAATAACAGGTCTAACAGCCATAGTTCCTTGTTTGACCTTATTAGTTCCAAGATGTCTGGGGAGTGCAACTCCTCCATATCTGTGTTGACTAATAATTATACATTCAGAGAGTACCAAGTTATGGAAAATCAGTATGCATTTCTCCTCTACTCTACATAATTACCTGCTTTGATACATACATACTCTAACAGTAATTTCTAATGCCAGGGACAGACAAAGCCCCAGTAATAGTTTCAATTAACAGAGAGTTTTCTCATGTTATTATATTTTCACCTATCGAGATTCTCAGACATCCAGATCATGGTTATTTCAAAAGTGCTTTTTCAAAAGGTAACTGGACTTTGTTTTTTTTCTTGAAGATATTTTGTTTCTCATCCAAAAATCTGAAAAATGAGAAGCAAAATGGTCTTCAAAGAAAAAACGAAGTCCAGTTGCCTTTTGAAAAACACTTTTGGGATTTATCAGGAAGGGCAAATTACTGAGCTAAACTTCCTTCCTCTTCCCCCTTTTTTGCAACCCTAATAATCCATTGTATTAAATGGCTGGATTTCACTGGTATTGTTTGATGGGAAAGAAAGCCATAAAATAGGCACTAACAAAATCTCTTTCCACATGACAAAACAGAAAACTCCACGTAGCCCCTGCATACTAAATGGCAATACCCATTCAGTCGTGTCCGACTCTTGGTGACTCTATGGGCCAAGTCTCTCCAGATCTGCCATTCTTGCACTACAGGTAGTCCT